GGGTACCCAGTCATGTAGGCCTTTGCTTTGTTCATAATCCAACGGGTTACGATGTAAATGAATTATGTCCCCTAGTCGTGGCGACTGATGCAGGGTTTCTCTTGCTTGCAGTCAATTGTAGGTCTTCAAGCGAAAGAATCCAGTCTACAGCCAACAGTCGCCACGACTAAAGGAAAGAAGCGCTGCAACAGATGCATGTGTGTGAGCATGGCTAGGATCGATAACGTGGGTACGGTGAACACGCGTCCTCTCACTTTGGGAGCAAATTTATCGATATAGGAACATAGGCCTACCTGATTGTTTCCACCTCTGATCGAAAACAGCTCAGAGCTCTCAAAACACCCAGAACTCACACTGTGGGATCTAGATATTAGTTTATTAGGTTATTTTTCTGCATCAGCTGCATTTACAAACCGTCGGCCATCTTGGAAACTACCCAAGGTCCAGTTCGCAGGTCATGACCCCAGAGCTGCGCACTGATTGGTCAACTCATCAACATCCGGGGGATTTAAATTGTCTTGGCATGAAGCGGCCATATTTTGCCTGTTTTATTTCAGTCCGAGTGTCTGACCCCAAGCTTCAACTCCAAACTGACTTCAACTTATCATTGCACCAGGTCTGATATTGCACGTAAGACCCTTCCTTTTCGTTGACAAGCGTTTTACTCGGTGGTTGAGGTGATAGGAATTCAGGCAAATTCTAGCAGAGGCGGCGGCAGGAAATTTTGATATTTGGTGGGCTACTCACGTGAAAAATACTGCTGTGCTGTTGGCATGGGAAGGGCACGGCGTGCCGCGAAAATAAACTGCATGTTGTCTTCGAATTCAGAAGAGCTGGATTTCATTTTTACCGCTGAAAAACGAGATCTATTTTGGCCAGCAGAACATTACCTCAACCACGTGAGAAATCTCGCGCCTTTTTTTCTAGTAATACGTAAATATGCACAGCTGATAAACCAATCAGAGCGCAGGTTTTCGGGGGTGAACCAATCAGAGCTTACAACTCGCAGTAATACCCACATGTGGCCGCGCAGCGCGGAAAATGTGTTTTACAAGCGGTTTTAAGGTAGAATTTGCTGGTTTTTCCTTACATCTAGAGAAAATACGCTAGAATTTCGGCGAGAGACGTCGACCGAGCGCGTAACTTTGTCTTCTCCTTTCCAACTACAGTACCGTTGAGAGATGGCGACCAAGCTGAAGTCATACAGTGGAGGCAGCAATGGCGCACCAGGGGAGTCGAACATTCAGGTTATGGTTCGAGTCAGGTACGGACAAACACTGATTCCTATAGATTTTAATTTCCTCTAGTGGAGGCAATTTATTTCCCACAACTTGATGTCAACCGCGTTTTGGTGCATGGCAGTCCACTCGGTAACCGTGAGCGGTCGTAGGGGCATCATGACAGCCAGCAGCATGTCTGAACTTGCCATTATGTTTCTGTAGGCTAATTTCTGAAATAAGGCCACACTAATTTAATTTGTTGGTTCTCGGATTCGCCTCTTCATTTTTTCCTGATTTGCAAAAAAAAAAAAAAAATTTCAGAATCAACTGCAAAATGCTCATATTTTGCCCTGAACAGCTGAAAACAGTCCTTTTCTTCCTAGTTGTTACAGTTATTCCATCTTTCAATGCAGTGGTATCATTAGAAGTTCAAAATTCATTGTTTAAATTTTGAACCAGCCTTTTGTGTTGACTTCATACCTCCTATCGTAGCATTTGGGGCTATAGTAGGATGCCTAGATCTGTTTTAATTTTTATTTTTTTCGCCCTGTCGCTTCATATTTTTCCTGAAAAAATCCGAGAACCAACAAATTAAATTGGCGTGGCCTAAAGAAATGAATTTGATGGTATGCATCATATTTTTACATTTTCAGACCATTGAACCAGACCGAAAAGAGCAAAGGTTCTCACAGTATAGTGGACGTCAAAAACAACAGGGAGGTGTGTGTGGCCACCAAGGAACCAGGATTCGGTGGACACAACACAAAGAAGTTTTCTTTCGACCAGGTTTGTCAATGTCTCCTTTTGCTATTTGTTATCATGGTAGTCCTTCGTAGCTAACATCATTAACACGCAGATAATTTATTTGAAGACTACTAGTATGCAAATCATCGGTAGGCAAATCAGGCAACTGTCACTTGCGTTTTGCCTACCACTCGTTGACCATCAGGTAGTTTGCATACCTAAACCCACATTTAGGTTCAGGTCTGGATTCAAGTCCAGAGGTTGTAAGTCCGGACCCATGGCATACACAAAATTGCATGTTGGCAACCTTGCAATGTTGTCTGGGTGAAACTTTGGTCACATAACATGGAGGCTGACACTTGACGATGCCCGATGGCAATGTTTTCTTCATTTTGCAGCTAAGATTTTGGAATCTCATCATCATTTTGGAATCTAAAGAAGGTTTTAGGTGGTTTGGAAAGAAAAGGGGTCTTTTATGGTATTAAGTCCGGACTCGGTTCTTGACTTTTAGGTTTTTTTGGACTTGAACCTAAACATTCTTACAAGTCCGGATCCAAGTCCAGTGAACCGGTATGCAGCACTACCATCAGGTCATAGCGATCGCTCAGGACCATATTATCGGGACATACTGTAATTCACTTTATGTTCACGGTAGCAAAATTTCACGGTCTGTGAAAAATGGACCTGTTCACGGAACTATATGTTCACGGTGGTGACAGGTGCAGAAAAAAGAAAGTCCAGGAATTATTTGTTAACTGTAATGATAAGTTCACTGTACAGAAGCAACAGTGAAAACAGTGAACTTATCAGTACAGTGAACAAATCAGGAATTACAGTAATTTGAAGTCACCAAGACATTTTTTTCAAACAATTCAGTCTTTGTCAGAATGATTCACAGTGAGCTGTACACGTTTGGTGTGCAAATGTCTAATCTTTCTAAATTGTGTCTAGACAAAACTATCATTGCTGTGTGTTATGACATTTACAACAAGGAATGACAGACGATCAAAATCAACCTTCAAAACAAATTTTTGAAGATTCAGTTATAATTGGGCAAGGCTTTATTAATATTATAAGAATTATGAATAGCAATTGTAGTTCAGGAGATGTGACTATATTATATGCTGAACACATACATGTACACTCAGTGACTGTATTTTGTGTGTTGACTTTTACAGGCGTTCAACCCCAACAGTAAACAAGTGGATGTTTACAAAGAAGTCGTCATGCCCCTCCTGGATGAAGTTCTTGAGGGTTATAACTGCACAGTGTTTGCGTAAGTCTAAGGCAGTTGCCCTCATCTTGTTAAAGAGTCTGCTGCGCAGTGCTGCCTTTTATGGGGTGCTTCACTGTGAAGGCTTCTTACTGTTTCAGTCTCCTTTCACAACCATTGCATGATGTACATTTGTATCAAAAATCCAGGAGCTATAGATGAAGATTAAAGAAAAAACATTTACCGGCTTCATTGAGTCTTTATTGGAATACTTAACATTTTTCTTGTGTTATTCAAATGAGTGATTTTTTTCCATGTCCAGATATGGCCAGACTGGTTCAGGCAAGACTTACACAATGGAGGGTGAAAGGTCACCTGACCCTGCCATTGCTTGGGACAAGGTCAGTTCTCCTGTCAGACATGAGTTGTTGTCTCTACTTCTCTGCTCCACTTGTCGGAGTGAGTCATGACTTAATTTTTCAGACCGAGCATTGTTTTTTCAACTTGACTTTGTGTAACTTTCCCCTGAACACAAAGCATGACTTTCAGTAGAATCCAAGGAATGAAAGCAGTTAGACCTGTCACTGTGTCAGTCAGTCACAAATTTCTTGTTTGTTCCAGGACCCTCTGGCAGGATTGATTCCTCGCACTTTGCACCAGATCTTTGATAAGCTGAGCGGACAGGTAAGTTAAACTGATAATGTGATACTGAAGAGGGAGAACAACAGACGATAAACCGGACAGGGAAAGAGAGAGATATAAAGATAGGGTAGACTGGTCTGCGGCATAGGGGAAACGTGGATCCGCAGAATACAAAGTACTTGTACAAACAAAATCAGGTTACAGATTCGTTTTATGTGGCAGAGACTCATTTGCATATGAAGATATAGGACTGTCTAGCCATAGAAGCTAATGCTGAAGGGCTGATGCAAGTTACAATTTGTCCATGATTAATATTAACTGACCGAGGCCACGTAGGGTATCCAGATGATGGTATTCAGATTCTCTGCTGCCCATTGTCTCATCAAGAGAAGATGAAGATACTATTTTGTTAGCATGTAAGTTGTAATGCGGACCATGGAGTATTTTAACTCCATGTGCGGACAAATTGAGATACCTGTGCAGAGGAATATTCATCATTTACCAAGGTTTTTCTTATAAAAATGTAACAGATCCCAGACAGCATGCTTCATTTTTGTCTTCTGTTCTTTTCAGGCTGTGGATGAGTTTTTGGTGAAAGTCTCGTTCATCGAGCTTTACAATGAGGAGTTGTTTGACCTCCTTGGTCCGGGAGAAACTCCCCCTAAGCTCACTACTCTGTATGAGGACAGAAAGGTAACAGAACTACAGCTTTCTCTTGGTACTTGTACTTGTTGAGGTCTCCTCGAGTTAGTCGTTCGAGTGGCCTGCGCACAGAACTCGTCTCTTCCTCAACAGTCCTCTCCAGTTCTTCCTGTCTTTTGCTAACTCCTTTAGCTCCTCTAGACTGGTGCTAGGCCTCCCAATAATCAGCATAGCATCTTCCAGGACACAGTTAATCCATGATTTCCTAGGCCTTCCCCTTGAGCGTCGCCCATAATTAGGCTTCCAATCCAGTAAGTACCTGGGCAGCCGCTCTTCAGGCATCGAACCAGAATTCAGACAGCTTTCTCTACTAAGGAAAAATGTTTGCAATAATGTTAAGAGGTTATTTGGGCTAGGATGTCATCTTACTATAATGAGAGTCACTGCAAAAGAACCAGTACTTCAATTTTGTTCTGTTTTAATGCTGGGGCTGAATGCATTCCCTGTATCCATAGAAATTAGAATTGTTGACAGAATGGTACGTGTTTGTACTTTATGTGTATTGGAAGCATTAGCACTTCCCCAATCCACACACCCGAGTAACATTGAGCATAGCAGTACTAATATTTCTCTAAGTCTAACAACTTTTTATTCCTTCAGGGGTCTGTTGTCATCAAAGGACTTGAGGAGGTCCAAGTACACAACAAGGATGAAGTGTACTCCATCTTGGAGCACGGGTCTGCTAAACGTCAGACAGCAGCTACACTGATGAACGCGCATTCCAGCCGCTCACACAGTGTTTTCATGATCACTGTGCACATCAAGGAAACCACCATTGATGGAGAAGAGTTGCTAAAGATTGGCAAACTCAACTTGGTGTGTTATCCTTTCATTTCCAGGCATTTCCAAAATGTTTTAAGATAAGGCCATGTTGATTTAATTTTATGGATGACATCCTCCGGGAGCCCCAAAACTGAGGTGCACGTGCGAATAAAAAAAAGTTTTGCAAAAAAAAAGTTCTTTTCATTATGAAATCTACGTGGTCATGAGGGTTGAGCAAATGGCACAGAATATGGTATGGCGAATAATCTACTCTTTAAATGCATTTCTTTGCATTTTAGTTTTTTGTTTGATTTTGGCATTCTACAACGTTGGAATCATTTTCAAATATTTTTTTGCAACTTTCGGTATATATTTGCTCATTTTGCAACTGTTTTGTACAATTTACAGTGTGGTTGGAAACTTTTTTTTTGGAAACGCCCGAAAATTCATGCGCGCGCGGATGTCATCCATATAATTAAATCAACATGGCCTAAGGAGTAAAACTAAAAGGTGCAATACAAGCTTTCTCTTTCTACACAAGTGCAAAAAACAATGCTGCCTTGAGATTGTATGGCTACAACAGACAGTAACAATTTAACATTTATTGTTGAAATTATTGTTTTTTGTGTATTAATACGAACTATTGTTCAAGTCTCTAAGTCTGTACTTGGGTTCAGCTGACATCTTGGTTGTTGACTTAGGTGGACCTGGCTGGGAGTGAGAACATTGGCAGGTCTGGTGCCGTGAACCAGCGGGCGCGTGAGGCAGGTCAGTACAGTTTTTTTTTTTTAAACCGAATTTAACGTCATTTTTCCCCAACTGGGGGTTAGACGTGCTTGCACCAGGTACAAGGCTTTTTTGAAGCAAGGTTTTTACGGCTGGTTGCTCTTCCTAACACCAACCTAAACCCTAGTAGGGCCCAGGAACCCTCTAACCGAGGGGGGAAATGCGTGTTAAGTGCCTTTCCCAAGGGCACAACGTCTGGGTACATGTCCGGACCTGTCTGGGTCCAACCCTGGGGATTGAACCTGGGTCTTTGAACAGTCACTGTTGAAATTACACCAGATGGTTAACCTGATCCAACTCGCTAGCTCTCTATTAGGGATAATTACAAGGTTATGAGTTCGTGAATAAGACAGTGCCCAAAAACGTGGTACTGAAACCACAGGTAAAGTTTCTACATTGACAGTAGAAGCAAGCAAACATTCAAATAGTTTTCCCCGGTCAGGTAACATCAACCAGAGCCTGCTGACCCTGGGTCGTGTGATCACGGCCCTGGTGGAACATGCCCCCCACGTCCCTACAGGGAGAGTAAGCTTACCCGGCTACTACAGGACTCCCTCGGAGGCAGGACCAAAACCTCCATTATCGCCACCATCTCACCTGCTTCCTCCAACTTAGAGGTGAGATGGATTCTCCTGCACTTTTTTGCTTGCACCAGCCCAAGGTTGCCTCAGCCCAGCTAAACTAGTACCTAACACCCTGTATAATTCTTAAAATGCATGCCCAAACTTGGACATCTGGTGTACCTGTATCTAAACAAAATTCAACACTTGTGGGCACTATTTTTATATACTAAAGATAGGCAAACTACATCTCAAAGATGAGAATTTAGTGCTTGAACATCAGAAAAAACTTATAACAAAAATTTACCACTAAAAGGACAGTAATCTGCATGAATAACTTACAAATGATTGGCCAAACTTTAGGTACAGGTCAGAGTCTGTACCTAAACCCCTGTACAGGTACTTGTACCTAAATTTTTGTGTACACAACTCTAAACTAAACTAAATCTTTGTTAATCAGAAAACAAATTTGTGCCAGCGTGTCATTATAAAAGCTGGGAGTGCAAGAATGTGATATGGCCCAATGCCCTATGCCCTGTTTTTTCCATCTACAATGTACTCCAGCGTTGGTATGCTTTACTTGCAGGAGACCCTCAGTACCCTGGACTACGCTCATAGGGCGAAGAACATAACAAACAGGCCAGAGGTCAACAGAAAACTCAGCAAGAAACACCTCATGAAGGTAGGAGTTGCATTATCTTAATTGCTAGTTTCTATACACCAGCAAACTTGAAAACCCTTGGTACTCTGATCAGCTTGTTGTAGTTTTATGATGTCAATGTTCACCAGCCTACACGTATTTGATACAGGAGTTCACAGAAGAGATTGAGCGCCTTCGACGAGACTTGGCTGCATGTCGGGAAAAGAATGGAATCTTCGTGTCTCCAGAGAACTACACGTAGGTTGTTCCTTCCTGGTAGTTATCGCATAATTCCTACTACATGCTACAGGTAATACTGTTGGTGACAAATAAACCTTGGTATTTGTTATTAGGGATCATTGTGGATTGATTGATTCTGGTTATTATTACATTGGATGGAGAATGCATATCGTCACATCTGATGAAAATCTAGGTCTTCGGATATATAACTTTGTGTTGTTTTGCTTTCCAGTAAATGTTTGGTTTTGTTCTTACATATTTCAGGAACATGGAAACAACCATCAAATCTCAACAGGAGCAGATTAAAGAAAAGGAGGAAAAAATCGCCGTCCTGCATCAGGAGATGAGCAAGGTAATAAGACAGTTCCTCAAGATTTGGTTACTAGTAGCATAATGCTCCTCCACATACAATATTCTTGCAGTAAGAGGCTGAATTCAGTCAGCTGGCCCATGCACAGAGTATGGGATTTACTTTACACCCACTGTAACCACTCAGTAACTTTGACTTTGACTTTATTGGGATCCACATTTAGCTTACAAGTAACCTGAGAGATTTGACAGATCTATTGTGAATTTCATAGCTAAAGAACAATCTTTTTTTTTATGTTCTGTGTGTTTTGTTGTCTAATATAAACCATGCTTAAATGACATCATATTCCAGTTAAGAAGTCATTAGGGTCACACCAATCCCTGTATGGTCGCTCAGTGATTGAAGTGGAAACGTTAGCCTTATTTATGTAAAAATGTATGGTTGCATGGAATGTATACACACACACACACACACACACACATATGTAATATAATAGGATCAATGCAGATTACTGCTTTAGTTTGTTTGGAGACTTCAATTGAGCCTGATCCTTTTCTTTTCCTCTCTAGGTTGAAACTTTGTTCAAAGAAACGGATGCAGAACTTGCCAAGAGGAGTTCTCAGCTGGAGGCAACCCAGAGAACACTCCATAAGACTTCCAAGTCTCTCCAACGTACCAAGGAGGTTAGGATTTTTATTTTATTTTTATGACGATTTACCACATTTGTGGAAGGATTGACATAACAGGTGACTATCACCTTTTCAAAGATATCAACCCCGAGACCAGACTGTAACGTTTGAACCACTCACACCGGAAAGGTCCCCTACTCTTTTCGATAAGCGGGGCGGGTTCTTTAACGTGCGTGGGGTGTGGCTCTCCCAAACACCGGACCTCCATTTAAGGTCCTATCCGAGGGACGTCCCTAGCCGAAGCTAGGTACTAATTTACACCTGAGTGAATTGAGGAAAGTCGTGTAAAGTGCCTTTCCCAAGGGCACAAGATCTGTGACATGGGCAGGGTTCGAACCCGCGACCTCTCGGGTGTGAGCCGAATGCGCTACCGACTGCGCCACATGACCCCACTAGGATAAACTGGAAGCAGAGAATTGACAAGTCTAATCTTGCTACTTGATGACTTTACTGAAGAAAAACTCGGATGTTACATACTTGTATGACATTCTTATTAGAACAGATGCCATGGTAGTCTACAAACAGTCTACTAAATTGATGTCTGTCTCTAATGTTAAAAACATCTGTCAGTCTGTATTCTTCATAATAAGTGTTGAAGCATTTGGTGGGCAAAACAATGTTGTATCTTTTTGCTTCAGAACCTTGCCACAACAAAACGGGACAGGGATGAGAAGGACTACTTGGTCCAGCAGCACGTCACCACCGAAGGACAGCTGTACAACCAGGCGTCACTGGTAAGGACAGCTGCTGTTCCACCAAAGGAATCTGTATCTAAGCTGATTTTGTATGCAAGCAGCAATCTTTTTTTTTACTTCCAGGTACAGACATATTGTTATAGGTGGGTTATTTGTGTGTTTCTCTGGACAGACTACAGGGATTTGGTGCACCTATTCCCAAAAATGAATTTCTAGCCTAGTTTGACAGCATGTGCGTGGGGAAGGAATTCCTTACAGAAAACACAAACCTTTTTATTTTGGCACAGTTGCTTGACACCGCAGACAGCAGTCTTGGTGATGTTGAGAGTTTGCACAAGAAGCTGGACAGAAAGAAACATGTTGAGACCCACAACAAGTCCTGCCAACACCAGTTCCAGCAGAGATTCCAGGCCAGCCTCACGGAGATGCAGCATCACGTGGAGGAAAACGCCAACGCTCAGTTAAACACGTGCACCAGCCTCATGTCAGATCTAGGTAAAGCAAAGTCTCCAGTACAGTTGGTGTTCATACGCTATTACTTACAGGTACAGAAGTATTGTTTTGGGTGGCCTAGCTGTGGCTTTTATATCTGCTTATCCAGACAGTGTAGGTCCGTAGCACATTACGTTCCCAGCATGTTAATGGGGAAGATTGACAGGTCAGAGACACAAGAAATGGGTCAGGGTGAACTTGAGACGGCGTTGACTGCATGAGGGTTCCAGAAAGTTTGACAGATTGATTGACAGGAGGTCAAAACGTCAGAAATAGGGTGAATTTGAAGGTCACAAAAACCTTTACTGTACCATAGAATGTTGATGTAACATAGAATATTGTTTGTACCTGGAACTCACAGGAAAGTGCCTGACCAATCAGACGCACGACGTGAACAGCCAGTTGACCCAGATGGTGGACACCCTGAGGCAGGGCCTGGAGGACATGACGGCTACACAGCGGCAGGAGAACTGGAAGGACTGGGCAGCAGGCACTAAAGCTGCTGTCTCCAAGTACAAGGTAAGATGACACTACAATCAATTATGCACTTTCCTGCATCCAAAATTGGAACTGTGCACCAGATGTTTGACAAGGTTTTTCCAGTTGTTTGAGTTTAGGTATTATAATTGTAGGAGTATCAGAAAAATGATAAAACCTACATGTTTAAGATTTGCTCTGAAGTAGGTCTTTTGTTTTGCTATCCACCCAAATTTCGTTTGTGCCCCTTCTCCCCATAATGAGCCCTATATTGTTGACATTATGAGTTGGTACTAAAAAGCCACATTGATGCCATGTACAGGAACAGGAAGTATCTGCCCTGCAGTCCCTGTTGAGTGGCTCTCTGCTGCCTGGCATTCAGAAGTTACTGCAGACTATCAACAAGAACCTTCACAGAACTCAGGCGAATTTGGTTAGACACGTAAGTTGTCAGATATTCAGAACCTCTAATTTACTGTTCCCAGATGTGACACGTTCCTCAAAATACTGGGGGCACATGCACTTTCTTGTGCCCAAAGTTTTCTATGCACCTATTCCTAATAATGAACTTCAAACCCTTAGACATTTACGAGGGCCTGGAAGGGGGGGTCCCGACAAACCTCTATGCTGAATTCGGAAACCTATCGATTACGCTTTACGATAAATTCCATAGTGGCTACAACGCATTATGTAGAATTAAAACGGCAAATACGCTCTAGGCAAAATGTGCCAATTGCGCTCTACGTTGACTTAGAGCAGTCCGTCTACACTCTACGTAGAATTATAACGGCCGATTACGCTCTACGGAAAAGGGCATGCGGGCCCCCATTTACAGACACCAATGATAAACTGTAATTTCCATCTTGCTGTGCAGGTGGAAGCACAGAAGGTGGCCATCAGGCGCTCTGCAGACGCTTTCCAGGCAGACATGAGAGCTATGGAGCAGAACATCAAAGAACAGCTGACCCTTCTGGACAGCCAACTGGAGGGGTCCATACAGAGTGTGGAGACCATCAAGACTGAGCAGAGAAATTTTGAAGTTCAGTTTCAGGAGATGTTGGCTGCCCAGTTGGCTGCACAGCAGACATTTCTGGCTTCCCAGCTGGCTTCCCAGCAGGCATTGCTGGCTTCCCACCAAGCAAGCATGAGCAGTAGAGCTGAGCTGGTACAAATGCTATCTTGACTTGTTAAGAAATACGGAGCAGTTAATAGACAGACGCAAAAATTCTACACAGGGCTTAGATGTCACCACTAGTCTGTGCTATGCAATCTCTTGCTGTTGGGGGCAGGTTCTACCTCCTTCCTGAAAGCCCATGACCTGAACTGTCAATATACAGTCGAACCGCAGGTCACCGTAGAACGCGTTATTCTCTAAGATACGGCATTTGCCGGGTCACGATTTGACCCCGTTGCATGGGTGTAAACAACTGCCTATAGTGCAGCAAAAAGACCTCAGACCTACATAATGTTTACATTTTTTCACATCTACAGGATTTGCCCAGTACAACCATGTAGATATTTCGTGTATTGCAAAATGACAGCGAGCGCTACGGCCTTCCAAAAATTATTAATTTTTGGTCAGTTTGTTTGTGCTTGTCTTTTTTACTATTTAACTGGATCCCGTTGGCTAATACCACAGTGTGATAGCCCACTTCTCTACCTTTACATTGATACCAATGACCCCTGGTAAATCTTATGGCAAACGGGTTTGCCCCCCAAAAAACTGTGACGATGCGCATATCGTGGTGGTCAAATTTAGCCCAGTTGTAAGCTACTGACACACACCATCCTGAGTTTCCGCTACATTTTTGATACATTTCGCGTAATGTCATAAAATTCGTTTCTTGGTATGAGAAACTGTTTGAATGTGGCTACCACATGCAATATAATACGTGATATGATAACATTCAATTATATACAAAAAGAGGAATTTAATACAAGGTTCTGACCATTCAAAAATCGTCAAATTTGAAGTCAATCGGTTTCGAACTCCTGCGTTCGATCCATGGAACCAAGGCAGCGCGTTCCATTTTTCGCGCAGCCAACAATGTTGCAACTTTCAACCGCTGTTTGCGAAAGTTCATAAAAAGAAGGAATCAAGTTTTTTCATCACAAACAGACTTTCTGAAACCCATTCCAAGTAAGACTTATATCATGAAGACGCTAGAGAAAGTGGGATTCTTGTGCAACTATACCAATGTCAGTACATATGCCCGATGTTTGTATATTTACAGTAACAGGTCATAGTGTCCGATTTCTCCTTCAAAAATTAGGTCATGAAAAATTAACCTGTTGTTGTATTTGTTCATGCCCAAATTCCTTCTCTTCTGTTTTCACCCGTAAAGTGGGTATCGTTTTGAAGCTTACTATTTGGACGTTATTCTTTCACTTTCATTTTTGTTCTATATAACTTTTAACAGAACATTTTTGAAGGCAAAGAAACTGTAAAGAAATTACACTTTTTCTCAAGGTCGAGCTGCAATACACATTGTGCAACTTCGAAACTAAGTACACAGGTGTCAAACCAACATAACTATATTTCAGCCACATCTTACATTACAGGTGTATTGGTTAGAACTAGTTGCAAAAGCTTGCGATTCGAACAAAAATCGTTGAGAATTCGACTAAATGAGCCCAACTTACTATCGGTTATTATATTGTAACAACTACAGGATCCCAAAAGAAACAACACACGATAGATGAGGGAGGGTCTATACTTTATTAAACAATACACCAAATCGACGATGAAATAGGGCAAACGGGTTTGCCCCCCAAAAAACTAAAGGGTACCTATCTCGAGTGGAATGATCTCCATCATACACGGTCAACTTTGAAACCTCGTTTCTCCAACAAACACCACCGGTAATGTACATCTACGACCTTGAGCGTGACGCCGGCTCTTCTTACATCTCACGTTAACGTATGACAAGGAAACACGCAAAGCGGAGTTACAAGCGAAACAGTAAACAGTAGCAAACTCTCGCGGATTCTCGCGGATCACATTACCTTGGAAAAGAAGCGCGAGATTTAAACGAGATCTTAGAGAGAGCTGCGCAGAACCGATGCGCATAGCGGTCTGCGGTTCGACTGTATAGTCCATGGGCCAGACAAGATTTTGTTACCAAATCAAGGGACAAAACGCGAATGCCTTTATGTGATAGTCCTCCCCACAAGGTTTTTGCAAATGTATGATAACCATGTTGAGTGCCCAGCTTTGACTTTGCTATCTGACCTTGAACTTTGACCCCATGGGGACCATTTCCTTTCCTACTTATAATGCAAAGGGGGAGTGGCAAATAATCAAATATGGATATTTTCCAACGTTACTTGGTGGTCAGATAAAACAGGAACAAAGGATTACAAAAATGTCAATTTTGTTCCAATATGTCATTTCTAAGTAGAAGTTATGTAGCTTTTGAAATTCGATTTTTCGGTAAAAAATTGGTAAAAAAATGGAATGTTTACTTTTCAAAACCTGTCAATAATAGGAGTTTAGGGTTCTAACCACTATGAAAGTCAGCCCAATAGAAGCTCAGTGTTCTGTCACTATGGAAACCAGTCATCACAGTCTCCAACACTGTGGTAACAGACAGTTCTCAGTCTGACAATAATAATTGACCCATGGTACTGTAGCACATACATGTAGCAAATCAAATCAAGAGGATTAAGAT